GGGGAGGATATTGTATTAATCCGTGAGTGAGGATAGGATACTACACCAAAATAGCAAGTCAAATTCTTTAATTTGAACTATCTGCCCAATTTTGGCTACTATAAAGACTGCAGTCCTTAAAGCTTTAGTAATTTGGTTAATGATTTCATGAGCTTCAAACTATTTTTCTCAAAATTTTATACTGAAAGTAACCGACCCTCCCTGCTCCCTTTTCTCTTTTTCATTCACCAGAATATTAGTCTTAAGTCAACTTCAGGATGAGTATTTAGTCATTGCCAGTGTCCTCTATGTTTTTCTCCTCCAACCGCTTTATGTTGGACCACCCCAGGCTCAGTACTTGGATTTCTCTTGTCTGACACTCACTCCCTTGGTGATCTTATTCATGATGGTTAGAAGGGAGTAAACCTGCCTGACATCTACAGGTGAGTGGCATTATGACTATAAATGACAGTGGGAAAGCACGATGCACTTAGTCTGCTCCCATAAATGTTCTGTAAGAGTCCAGACTCAATTTCATAGTCACCTTCTCTTTATCACTTTCTGAAGAATGTAACTTGTAAAGAGTTGGCAAAGGAGAAAATAGTAAATGAAGACAAAATCAAAGTGATTCTTCCAATAAATACTTTAATGAGAACCGAGGTCTGTAACATACTTAGCAGAAACTGCCCTGGCCTGTGCCTTCTGCTCTACCCCAAGTCTGGGGCTAACCAACTACATTTAACCCACATTTGAAAAGAAGGCCATTTTGAATGTCACCCATCAGTATCCATCTTCACAGAAGATACCAATCTGGTGCCAGAATCGCAATGTTAACACTTCCTGTCCGGGAAGTTAACATGGTAACACAAACAAATGAACAATTTCGAACCATCCTTCTGTTCTTCCATCAGGAGGCCCTTGGGAGACCAATGGTTCAGTAAACACTTACAACTTTGTCAAAATACATTTAAACAAGGAAAAGGAGAGAAGAGTAGAAAGGTTGGCAGGGCTTGGCTCACATGTAATTCAGTCCTTAGATCTGAAGCCTCTTAAGCTGCTCATATGTGATAAAAAACTGAAGAGTAAGTCATGGAAGATCAATTGGTTAACAATGAAAGCCAAACCTAGTTCCAAAATTGTACATTGCATTCTTAAATTAAGGTATTTAGTCTGTGCACTTGCTCAAAAGTCTTTTTAAAAACAATACCTGGCAAATCAAGCATGTACTGAGTGCCCACCATGTGCCCATTATCATCACTGGCATTTAGCAATATAAACAGATTAAAACACTAACATACTTATAGTCTTCAGGGGAAAACCCCCTCCCACACACACACATAACCAAGACCATCAATGACAGCATATAAATCAGTGATAGAGTAACTGTTACATACATTAGGTGATCAGAGTAATCCCAAGGAGGGAGAGAGATACTATCTCCCTCAACTATAGATTCCACAAGGGCAGGGAATTACTTTTCAACCATGCAATGCTCACCATCATACACACCACCACCACACACAGGATCCAATTCATGGCTCTGCATATAGAAGGCACTCCAACACAGCTAAAAGGAGATTCACCCGAGGAAACAGCCCTACTTGGCCCTGGATTCGTTCACCCTATCACTGTTTTCTGTCTTATTATTTCCCCAGCTGTTTGCGTCCTGTAGTCAGGGGATAGGAAATATGGGTCTGCTCAGGTGGACTTTTCTGTGGGCATCTCCCAGCAGAGTTTCCAAAAAGTTCATAGCCCTTTCCAGATTTCACTGTTATTGTTAGCATGTTGTTTTTTTAAAGAGGAAACTTTGCCATGTCTTTTCTAGTCCTTTCAGTTTGTATTAAGTCATTTCTTAATTCCATCCTCAATCACCATTAGAATGCTTGAGTTTCTCACTTGCCTAAAGGCTTCAAGAATCAATTTTTCCTTCCCATAGCCTAGAATTACCTGGGAGCTTGAAGCATTTGCTTTCATTCTCATGTTCTAAAAGGATACAATGATGTTCCAGGGTCCAAGTCGAAGCCAGTTTGGCCAAAATCCTTTATAGAGTGCAAAAAAGCCCTCATGTTTCCACATCTGAGAGAAAGATATAATAAAAAATAGAGTGAATTCCCTTCACACTTTACACTGACAACTACTTGTATTTTAGTACTCATCTTCCAAGCCACTCCCCAACATCTCATGACTCCATGAATGGTCTTTTCTTCCTAAAGACACACATTTGAATTCATATGTAGTCTAAATAAAACCATTCATTCAACAAATATCTATTAAGCACCTACCATATGCAAGGTATTCCTGATGCTGGGATAATAGTAATACTAGTAAACAAGAGAAAGTATCTGTGGTAGACGGCTTCCAAGATGGTCCCCAAGAAAGTCACCTCATTATTTACACCATTGCGTAGGTCCTCCCACACACATCAGGATTGGTCTGTGTCTCCAAGAGAATAAAGCAGTAGTGAACACATCACCTCCAATGCTTTATTATAAAAGACATTTTATGTATAAGGCTTCTGCCTTGCTTTCTCTTGGATCAGTCACCCTGGAAGAAGCCAGCTTCCATGTCATAAAGAGAGGCCCACATAGTGAGAAACGAAGGCCTCTTGCCAACAGCTAGAGAGGAAGAAAGGCTTCCTGCTAACAGTCACATGAATGACTTTTGAAGCAGATATCCCAGCCCCAGTCAAGCCATCAGATGACTGCAGCCCTAGCTGACATTTGGACTACAGCCTCATGAGAGAGCCTAAGCTAAAATCCCTCAGCTAAACTGCTTCTGAATCCCTAATGCATAGAAAATGCGAGATCATAAATGTTTGTTGTTTTAAGACACTGAGTTTTGGAGTAATTTGTTACACAGCAAAAGATAACTTATAGAGTCCCTGCCTTCATGAAATGCATCCTCTAGTGGAGCTGGCAGACAAATACACAAACTTACATATATATATTGTACTCAGAAATAAGCGCTAATAAGAAAATTAAAGCAAAGTAGGGGAATGGGGAATTGGGCAAGTCACTATCCTCTGAGTCTGGTTCATCACTGTAAGCTCTGTGCAATACCATGGGCTACCTCACGTCAATGCTCTGAGGATCATGTGAGGAACACTGTGAATTGCTTTGAGTCTGGCTTTCCTGTTTTATACAAAGGAGGTCTACACACACCAGCTGAATGGTTATTATTAAATGACAAATTATGTATATCAAAAGTCAAAAACTGGTGGTGCATGTTGAATCCAACCTACAGAAACAGTTTCTATTTAATAGACAAATATCTCTTAAGTGACTCCTATGATTTAGGCATTGTGTTAACATTGAAAAATGTTATTTTGCCTTTCCACTGGTGAAGTAAAACCCACCATTATACTAAAAAATAAATATATCTGGGTTAGACAATAGTATGAGAATCCAGAATTATAAATATCCTTTATCCCATGCTATAGATTAAGAACACTCGATTTCTTTGGATAAATACCCAAAAGTGGAATTGCTGTGTTGTATCGTAGTGATAAAAAGGTATATAAATGTTGAATCACTATATTGTAACCCTGAAACTAGTACAATATTGTATACCAACGACACTTAAATTTAAAAACTGAACACTCGAGATAATTATCCCAACTAACCATTTTTTTGGAACAGAGAGGCTTTGGGTGATGAGCACTCGATGCAGTATGCAGATGATGTTGTACACCTGAAACCTGCATGGTTTTATTAACCAATGTCACCCCAATAAATTCAGTTTAAAAAGAATAAAAAATAAAATGAATTATAATAAAATGAAACAAATGTGATATAACCATATGATGGAGTATTACCCAGTCATAAAAAGGAACAAAGTACTGATACATGCTACAACATGGATGAACCCTGAAACATTATGGTACATGAAAGGAGCCAGCCAAAAAGGTCACATATTATATAATCCCATTTATATGAGATATCCAGAATAGGTAAATTTACAGTGATAGAAAGTAGATTAGTGTTTTCTTTGGGCTGGGGAGGTAGGGGGCAGATAGTTAAAGGGCATGAGGTTTCTTTCTGAGGTAATGAAAATGTTATAAAATTGACTGTGGTGATGATGGTTGCACATATCTGTGAATATACCAAAAGCCGCTTTGAATAGGTTAATTTTATGATATGTGAATTAATCCTCAATAAAGATTTTAAAAAATATAATAAATGCTATGATAGAGCAAGTGCACAAAACTATGTACATATAACCTAGTTTAGCAGTCAGGGAAGGCCTTTATAAAAACGTAACAAGATCTAAAGAATAAGCAGGGGGTAGCCAACTGGAAGGGAGCTAGGGTAGAGTGGGGAGCATCTAACAAAGTATATGGCATGAAAGAAAACTTGGGAATGAAAGTCTAGTACTAGAAATTGTTCAGTATATCTGGAATGCGGCATAAAGGTGGCAAAGATAAGGCTGTGGAAGTAAAAAGGGGTCAAATCATCCAGAGCCTTGGGTCTACGAGAAGCCTTTCAATGGTTTTAAGATGGAGGTGACAGGATGAGACTTGCAGTTGCTCATTTCTGTCAGAGATGAAGGCATAATTCCATTCACCAAAGTGTTTTGGGTCTCTTAGAGATGAAATAATAAAGTATGATGCTATTATATATAATGATATAGAGTGAAATTGTTTTAAAGAACTTTAATAGCAAATAAGAGAATGAGTGAGTAAATATAAGTACTTAAAGGTTACCTGAAATATAAAATATGTTTATTCCAATGCAACACAGGATAGTGGTTACATGTACACACTTTGGAATCAGACAGGCCCTGGTTTAAATCCCAAAGCTGGCACTTATTAGATGTGTAGTCTTGGATAAATACTTAGCTACTCCGAAACTAAAATCACTCATTTATAAAATGGGAAAGCTAATATCTATTCCATAGTGTTCTGTGAGTTAAAGGATATATTATAGCATTCAATAAATGCTAGCTATTACTATATTCTATCTCCTCTTAGCCAACCTTCCTGTGTGCTAGGAAGGCAAAAAAGCTGTGACCTCCTGTAACTGCTCTCCTTGGTCTCCCCCTCCAAAGATATGAAACACCTGTACACTACTGATTCCCAAGGCTCTTAGCTACACCCCCTGAACTCTCCTCTGAATGAACTCAAATATATCCAAATATATCCACTGCATGTTCCTCATGAACCTCAAACTAAGTGTCCAAAACTGTGATGTCTCCCATAAGACCTGTTCCTCTTCCTGTGATGCCTCTGTCAATGAATGTCACCACATGGTCACCACTAAAATAATATGTAAGGTCTCATTAGGATAGTTTCCAATATATAGTAAAGCATTCAGCATATATTAGTTATTATTATTCAGGATGCCACCATCTACAGGATGCCTTTCCCAAACTTCCAAATTGGACTAAAATTTCCTCCCATAGATCCCTGAATTTTTCACTTACCAATCTGTTAATTATGTGTCAGTACACCTGCAGTATGCTATAATTTCTCTGTGCCTACTAAAATGTGCCTAGTCTATAATAAATAGTGGTTAAACTAAACTGAACCACAGAGAAACCACATGGCAATATTGTATTTTAGCCTCAAATTTGTTTTTTGTGGAAGTATTATCACTAGAGATTATATAATACATAATTCATTTACAATATTTAGCTTTCCACAAGAACATAGCAGAAACTTTCAAAGCAAAACTGTGAACAAAAGCACAATGCTGAACTTAAACTGAGTACCAGATTTTCTATCACAGGGTCTCTGTCTTGTTTGAAGTGGGCAAATGTGGGATATGTTAAGTCCTTTATATCAATTCTACACAGTGTTATTCATAAAATAACATGCAGTCACAAGCACTCAAATCACAATAATATTAAGGACCACTGTACATCAGCAGATTGCCAAGGACACAGCTTTTCTACCTGGAAATTACTCTGACAGCCTATAAAAATACACATAATAACTCTTCCATCTTCAGAATTATATGTAGCAACTATGAATAAGGCTTGAAAGAAGGTCTGAGACATCAAAGAAAATTAAAAATGCAATCCAAGCCCACAGTGTGCATACCTTTAAAATACCATCCAAAGTACCCTTGTAGAGGTCCACATGTCCCACGATTGCCCTCTGGTTCATCATGCGAGTTCGAACCACATCAACTGGATTAGAAGCTAGAGCTCCAGCCAAGCCACATGTAAAGCTGGACCTAAAAATGAAAAATTTAAGTAGATAGATTGCCCTACTTCCACCCTTGCCCACTAAACAGAAATGAGGGCAAACTTAAATGTACAATGAGTCAGACTCATGAGACAAAACCTGGCATTTACCCTTTCATTATAATCTAAAAAGAAAGAAAAGTTGTCCGCTTCACTTTTCAATCTGAAACTTAGACAGCTTTTTTTCTTAAAGGGGGACAGTTTATAAGTCTAGCAAGATCCCTACACAGAAAGTGTCACATATCATATATTAGTTACGTAAATTTTTCAAAACATAGGATCATATGCCAAATGCATGTGAGTAATAAAGTATCATAAAAGTTGCAAGATGAAGAAATTGTAGGCTGAGACTGACAATAGTCTTCAGCCGAAAACTATGGTTTTGTTTCACAGGCCCTATAAAATTTTACCTTTTTTTATTCTCATTGAGAAAAGTTTGGTTTTTGTCCCAAAATAAACCAAAGCAAACAACAGATGGGCTTATCAGATATGGAGGTTGTGTATGAACAAATGCAAACCCTACAGAAATCTGATAGGCTGCTGTATTAGACACTGCCCCCAAGTACCCAAGTGTCCATAGCACCTGGGATATAGAATAATGGTATCAATTCTACATGAGGATTTCAGTGAAAGATGCTTTTTATGCTCAAAATACTGGTAATATGACATGAGCACAACCCATCATACTCACACAAAGTGGGTTAAAATTGTGTCTCCCACCATCCCTGACAGTATCAAGTGCTTCTTCGTAATATCATAGACTGGCAGCTCAACTCCCACAACAATAGCAGCCCGCTGAGCAGTTGGAACGACACCCTACAAAACATAGGTGATGTGAGATACCAAGAAGGTACATAGGTCGTGTGACAGAAGTCTGAAAGTGAACAAAATAGCTTGTGAGTTAAAAAGTGACAGAAAAATCCAAGTCTGAAGTACAGAGGTCACTCTTTCAAATCAAAGCCTAATACTGGAACAAGTCTGTGTATTACTAAAAACCATTATATTGTACACTTTAAGATAATGTATTTAATGGTATGTGAATTATCTCAATAAAGATGTTATATAAAATCACGAAGCAAAAGTCAGTGGGAAGAAAAGAGCTTCAAAGTTTAATTCACAGCATTTTAGGATATGCAGAAAGAACACACTAGGGTGACAACAAAGGTCTGATGCAGCTAGGGAGAAGGTCAAGGCAAAAGGGATGCTTCCTTATGAGTCCTCCTGGGGTAACACTACCAGCATTTCACTCAATAGCATAATACTCCTATCACAGCTCACATTATAATGCAGGGCTGCTAGAGCATTAAAAGTCATGTTTTTGAAGAATACTAACACAAGAAAATACTTATGATATAACCTTAAAGAAGGAAAGACATAAAATTACCTATACCATTATTCTAACTTAGGGGAAGAGGTATACACACATGCCAAATTTTTTGTAAAGGGTTAGAGGGAAATGCACCAAAATATTTTTCATCTGAGATTAGGATAATAGACCAGTTAATTTTCATTTTTATGCCTTTCTATATTTAAAAAATCACAATGAGCCCTAACCAGTTTTTCTCAGTGGTTAGAGCATCGGCCTGTGGACTGAAGGGTCCCAGGTTCAATTCCAGCCAAGGGCAAGTACCTCGGTTGCAGGCTCTATTCTTGGCCCTGGTTGGGGCACATTTGGGAGGCAACCAATCAATGTGTCTCTCTCACATTGATGTTTCTCCCTCTGTCTCTCTCTCTCTCCCTTCCATTCTCTCTGCAAAGCAATGGAAAAAATATCCTCAGGTGAGGATTTAAAAAAAAAAAAATCACAATGAATGTTTTATTTTTTCAATGTATTTATCTTTGTTGTTGAGGGTATTATAGATGTCCCCCATTTTTCCCCTATTTCCCCCTCCACTCGGTTCCTACCCCACCCCAGGCCTTCACCACACATTTTACTTTTATAAACAAACAGTGTTTAAATGTTGTTTAAAATTGAATATAACATACTGTGGGAACAACTGCTTTCTGGGAGACCCTGTTATATTAAAGTATTCAATCATCTCTAAAATCCCTAACTCAATGTATACAGTGGAAGTGATTGAGCTGTGCTGTCACCAAATGTTTTATTCTGCTGATGGGGCTGACTGGCCCAACAGTGCCTTCTTCTCTGACCCTTCCATCTGCTCAACTCTGTTAGAAGATGACCTTTGGAGAAGACTACTTTGGAGAACATTAAGGCCACAAACTGGAGACCACAGGCTGAATTCAGACCACAGACATGTTTTGTTTGGCCAAACAGTGTTTCCAGAAGGCTGAATAAGCTGTCAACATATAAAAAACCAGGATCCTTCACATAGAAATGCAGATTTCCAACTTCTCTTGCAAGTCCAGAAATTTTGGCGACACTGAACTCACATCGCACATGGCAACAATGAGCGGGGCAGGTGCTCTCCAGTTACCAAAGTCCCCACGACTCTATTGTCTCTCCAAATCTGACATTAGTGCCAGTTACACTTTACTATTGTACTCATGCTGTTATTTCTCCCAATGGAGTTAGGAAGAAAGTGAAATGTTTCCAGTACCCATATTGCAATCGAAGTAGGAAAGTAAAGCATAAACAAAGAGGACCATGTGTTTGAAGACAAATGCAAACATATTTCCTTGTTGAAATAAAAACATAATTCTGTATTTTAATATGCAAATAACATGTCTGTGTCAAAAGAATACATAACACAATGTACTTCACTTCTTTACCTTACATGCCTGGATGAAGTAGCCTGGATCATAAAAGTAGCTATGTTCAGTTCCTCAAAAAATTAAACATAGAATTACCATCCAGCAATCCCACTTTGGGATATATAAATGAAAGAATTGAAATCAGTCTTCACACACCCATGTCCATAGCAACATTATTCACACGAGCCAAGATATACAAACAACCTAAATGGCTGTTAACAGATAAACAGATAAACAAAATGTGGTGTGTATACATATACAATAGAGCCTTGAAAAGGAAAGAGATTCTGACATACGTGACAACATGAATGAACCTGGAGGGCATTATGCTAAGTGAAATAAGCCAGTCACAAAATGAAAAAAGTATGATTACACTTATATAAGATACCCAGTATAGTTAAATTCATAGAGACAGAAAGTGTAAGGCTGGGGGGAAGGGGAAATGGGGAGTTGTTTAATGGGTACAGACCTCCAATTTTGCAAGATGAAAAGAATTCTAGAGACTGGTTATACAACAATGTAATTGGTTAAAATGGTAAATTTTGTTATCTGTACTTTACCACAAGTAAAAATTTTAATTAAAAATAAAGTAGCTAGCCTGGCTGGGCATGGCTCAGCGGTTGAGCGTCGACCTAGGATCCAGGCAATCAGGGTTCGATTCCCGGTCAGGGCACATGCCCAGGTTGTGGGCTCGATCAATGACTCTCTCATCATTGATGTTTCTCTCTCTCTCTCTCCCTCTCCTTTCCTCTCTCTGAAATCAATAAAGATATATTTAAAAAATAATAATAAAATTAAGTAGCTAAGTTCCCCTGACAAAATCTCCAATTCTATTTATTGCTGTCTTTCCTTTAGCCTTACTTTGTGAAAAAATTATAGCTAGTTCCATTTTCTGGTTTTAAATTAAACTAATCAAGAAGCTGTACTCTGCTATTATCAAAAAGCAAACCTCAAGTATCATTAATGGATGCCAAGACCATTAGATGAAAGGTTATTAGATAATAGGATACATGCATGATGCTAGAATATAACCCTACAGACTACTTGCTAATTGCAAATGGGGAAACAGCTAATCTTTTACGATGGTGAGATCTAGTAGACATCATTTTACCAAGTAATCAAACTTAGCATCACTAACTATGGGATAACCCAACGTATCTGCCTGCCGGTGTGATGCAATATGAAATACACCATGTTACCTATGCAGTTCTCTTACCAAAAACGTTTAACATGAATCTAACCAAGCCAATAGACCTAATTTCCAGTTTACAGAAAATAGAGGGGAAATATGAGGAAACAATCTATAAGAAAGCTGGCCTGGTCTCATCAATAAAGTAAACTGAATATGGTATTAGAGACTTACTGTTAATTTTCTTAGGTGTGATAATGGTATTGTTATTATGTAAGAGAATGTCCTTATTCTTAGGAGATACATAATGCAGTATTTAGGGGAATACCATGATGTCTGCAACTTCCTTTCATATAGTTTGGCAAAAAAAAAGTGTGTGTATACACATATAAATAAAGCAAATATGTCCAAACTTTAATAGTCATTTAATCCAAGTATGTAGGTGTTCATTGTTCTATTCTTTCAACTTTTCTGTAAGTTTGAAATTTTTATAAGAAGAAGTTGTGAGCCTGACCAGCGTGGCTCAGCGATTGAGCATCAACCTATGATCCAGAAGATCGAGGTTCGATTCCAGGTCAGGGCACATGCCTGGGTTGCAGCCTCGATCCCCAGTCAGGGGCGTGTAGGAGGCAGCTGATCAATGACTCTCTCTCTCCCTTCCTCTGATATCAATAAAGATATATTATATAAAAAAAAGTTTCAGAAAATTATAAAGGAAGAAAAAAGCAAAGTTTTCTTTTTTAAGAGTCTGTTAATAGATTTCCCATTCTACTCTCTCTGCATATTCTGCTAGTAGTCTTACTTAATATTACAATCTTAAGTGATTAAAATAGGATAAAGCATTATAGGAACAACAACAAAAAAATGAAGTATAGATAGAAGACTGAAAGGTAATATGACATAATGTTAAAAGTGATTGTCTCTAGCTGGTGAGACTTAATGGATTTGTTCTCATTTATATATTTTCTCAGTATTTTATAGTGCATCTTTTACCTTTAAAAAGGTTTAAAAAACTTGACTTAGGAAACAACTTTAGAGCATAAGCACTACAGAGACTATTGCTAATAGACATTGCTGTGTTAGTACAAAACAGGCAAATGTACATATTGAAGAACTAAATTCACTGTGAATCTGAACCAAAATGCTATCTCAAATAATGTATTTTCTCACATATATAACACCCAAACACTAAGCAGAAATAAAGACGACTGAAAAGTTCTGGTCCCTTTCATAGGTTCTGTGGAGCTTCTTACACCTCATTTTTGGGTTACCAAGAATCTTACACAGTGTAAGATGCCAGTTCACAATTTTATGGCTTTATATAAAAAGTTTTCACTGCAAATTCTAGGAACTGAGTATAGAACAATATCAGGAAAAGAGTACTCACCCTCCACAGACCCTTGGTACCTTCTTGTTGGTATATATCAATGAAGCTGCCAATCATGCTGCCTTGAAACAAGCTTCCCTGAGCCTGCATTCGAATCTAAAAAAAGAATAAGTGAATGTTTTGTTCTGATATTGAACCAAAATGAGATGATTCACTCATTTAAAATTAAAAAACAGTATTTGGGAATTAAAGAAAAATCAGCCTGCTATTATTATGAAGTTAATGACTTAAACTATATATAGAAAGAATGTAATTTGTCTCAAAGTATATCTTATAAAGATGATTTTATCAACCTCACATTCCTCATACCTAAGTCCATCATTTCTGGAGTAGAAAGAAAACTTGAAGAAAAGAAAGAACAAATGCTCAGTGGAGGTAGAAAATAATTCATTTAAAATATGATTCGTGAAAAATTAAAGCAGCCTACATGTCCCAAAACCACAAAGGATTGGCTGCATAAATTTATGATGCATCCATTTAATGGAACACTGTACAGCCATAAAATTTTTTTGTAGAATAATATCTGACATTGAAAAATGTCAACAAGTAATTGCTGAATAGAAAAGGCAGGCTGCAAAGCAGTATGGATGGTATATATTAAAAACATGTTAACTTAAAATAAATCATATGCACAACCAAGAGAGTGGATGAACATAAACACCCAAATGTTGACCATGGTTTAAGTCTGAGTGATGAGGCTATCCGTGAGCAGTTCTCCCCTTTTTGTTTTTTCTGCCTTCCACTTTTATCTACATTGAACATGCACTGCTTATGTAATTATAGAAAGCAAAAATGTTTTAAAATATAATTTTATGCTACAAGACATTAAACTGAGTTTTATTTGTAAAAGGCATGACACTGTATTTTGCAAAGTGGCCTTTGAGAAGCACAAGAAAGGAGATATAGCACTGAAAAGCCATGTGAAAGATTTGGTACAATTTCACACTGACTCTGCACACATAGAATCCCAGTAGTCATCACTAAATACTAGTGGCCCAAATGTAGCCCTGATTTTCATGAAGCAAAACTCTAAGTTCCAATAAATGTCATGTAACAGCAACATGTTTTTATGTAGAAAGTCAACTGCTGCTACAAAGAGTTGAAATAAAAACCTAAACCAAATTAAATCAGAATAGAAACTATCACAAAGTCAAATTGAAACCAAAAATATCCCATGGTAAGTACAAGATTTCTTTAAGGGGGTGATTCCTGAGCAGGGTTGGGTCTAGGGTGAAGCAACAAGTGGGGCACTTCCGTCAGGCACAAAATGTAGGAGGAAAATGCAAAAAACCTCAGTAATCCAGATAATTATCTTAATATTTTTAAAAATCAAAATTAATGCACAAAAATGAACGATGAACCAAATATCAAAGTTGCAACTGAAGATAGGCTCCAACATGGTGGGATTAGGGTGAGGCAAGGGAGGTGAATTGTACAAAATATTGATATTTTGCTCATTAATTTTATGCATTTATTTTAGTTTTTGACAAATATTGCATAAAAATGTTAGTTCTCGATTACTGAGTTTTTTGGCACCTCCCTTACATTTTGCATCCAAGGAGAGTACCTCACTTGTCTCATCCTAGTCCTGGCCTGTTCCTGAGAAGTCTTGAAGAATAACTACATGAGGAAAGGGGAGAAAGGCACTGAGACAGAAAGAGAACTGCATGTACAAAGGCCAAGAAGCAACACAGCAAATCAGAGAAAGGGATGTCCGAGGATAAAAGGATTGAACAACTCAACAGTGATTTTAAATCCTATTTGTATTGTCACAGTCTAAGACTGTGATTTGGGATTCACTCACACATTTTATCATATATTTAGTGCTTTTAATTAGTCATAAACTAATTAATCATACACTTAAATAAGTTAATAAATAGAAAATGCTTGCCATTTAATGAGATAAAATAAGATAAAGACTGATATTAAAATGTTTCATTCTGTGTTTTGATAAAATCTGAAAGAAATCCATATTTTAAAAACTCAGTACCATTAACCTACTGTTCTGGTTCTGAATTCAGAATATCCCAACACAAGCCACAATATGCATATCATTTTAAAGGAAAATCTCACTCTTAATAGAAATATGGGTAACACAGGAAAAGACAGGAGCATTATAGACTTCAGGTACCTCAATTAGTTATTCAAAGGGGCTTCTCCAAAAACTGCATTTCGATTTATCCCTTTGTTTGGTACCCCAGGTTACGCCACAGGTCAATATACCACACTAAGCTCTGGAAGGGGTGGGGGAGATACCTTTCTTTCGTAAAATGGAAAAGACTATTATATATACAAGTTTACCCTCAGATCACTTTTCAAAAAGAGTACAAATGAAAGTAGGGAATCTTGAAATTGATTTACATAAAATTGCATAGGCCTTGGAAAGAACCTATAAAGGTTTGAATACTCTAGTTTGAAAACCAATGGATTAATGCATATCTTAACAAATTGACTACTATTTACTGAGCATCTGCTACCAACCAAGTACAATGATAGGCAGTTTACATATATTATCTATAATCCTTAACAACCTTATGTGATTAAGTACTGAATTATCTTCACTTTACAAATGAGAAAACTGAGGCTTAAAGCAATTAAGTGATTTACCCCAAGTTTTATAGCTGTCAAGTGACAGAGTGGGGAATCTAAACCCAAATCTGACTCAAAACTCATGCTCTTTTCACATCACACTGCATACATCCAATGCTACAGACCTCTCTTACCTTTAGTACATCGGTGGGATTGGCTATAGTGGAAGATATCACTCCTGACACTACCCCACAGATCATATTAATTAGAAGAGTTTCATCTGTAAAAAGGAGCAAAAAAAGAAAAAGGAAAGAAAGAAAGAACGAAATGTCTGCTTGTATTAGTTACCAGTTCTGAGAACAGAATACTGAGCTATCAGAAGGGAACCCTAGTCAGAGAAATGGCTGCAGAAATGAACTACAAAGCCTATGAAAATAAACACATATTTCTAGATCCCAAATCAGTACTGAAACATATAAAAATTGTAATACATAAATCATTATTTTTAAAAAATTACTTCTAAAGGACACTGGAAAGTCTTATTATTATATGTAACTGCTAATACCACACACAAATTCAAATGTGGTATTTTACCTTTCAATCATTTCAAACATCTAAAGAAAAAAAATTTAAGTCTCTTTCTGGAGAATCATCAAATCTAAAGACTCAGGACTCAATGTTAAAAGACAAATGATATTTATATGTGGAATCTAATGAATAAACTGACAAATAAAATAGGTCCAGAGGCATGGATGCATGGAACAGAATAACAGATCTCAGTGGGGAGAGAGGTAGAGGGGACAGGAAGAGATTAACCAAAGAACATATATGCATCTATGCATAACCCATGGACCTAGACAATAGTGTGGGGAAGGCCTGGGGTGGGGCCAGGGCTGGGTGGAGGGGATCAATTGGGTGGAAAATGGGGGACATCTGTAATACTGTCAACACTAAATAAAAAATAAAAAGATAAAATATTTGTCTAATAGAAAAAAATTATCTAAATATTAATTTTGACTGGCCTTAGTATCTACTACTATCTATTTACTTACAGAAGTTTTCTGTAGGCAAATGTGAAAAGCTAGTCATTTGGAACTAAATCTCCTCAGCTACCAAAACCAAAACAAAACAAAAAAAACCCCATAGAGCCCCTGGCCGGGTGGCTCAGTTGGCTGGAGCGTCCTCCCATGCACCAAAAGGTTGCAGGTTTGATACCTTGTCAGGGTGCTTATGGGAGGAAACCTACTGATGTTTCTCTCTCTCTAAAATCAATAAAAGCATACCCTCAAATGAGGATTTTTTAAAAATACCACAGAGTATATTTTTCTAAAGTTAAAAGTCAATCTTCACCATGCATCTTCACCATGAAGAGCCCACAAACAGAAACTAGGTAAACCCAAGTGAAGAATCTGTGAAAGAAAATTACTTTGGGAGAACCCATCAGGATCCTCAAAGAAAAAACTCCAGAAAAAGCTGATTTAGTAAAGCGATTCAAAGGACATTGCTAAGCAAAAGGCTCTCCAGCTGTCCCCAACCATTTAGTACAGCATCAGACTGGAAATGTTGCAGCAGCAAATAGAGAAACATATAATATTGAATGTGGGTAAGGTGGCCCTAGATACACCAGAGTCTAGAATATAATAGCCTAAAATTACTCCACCCAACAAGAGTTTGTCAAGCTCGGCAGCTAGAGAAGTCTTCTTGCTGATGAAGACAGCACTAATTTTCTGGACAAGCTTATTCCATGTCCCCTCTGTGATGACCAGAAGCCTTTTTTTTTGACAGGAAAAGGGACAAACTGGAAGAGCAGACCCCTCTAACACATTATCACTTTGTCCCTGAAATGATTGTCACCCATTCTCAGGCATCCCAAAATGAACACTTATCACTTTTCAATAATCCCTCTGAGCATTACCCCCCAAAGAGAATGAGGAGTCTATACCGACCTTCTAAACGTTCTACAAAGAATCTCTTCAAGCTCTGGTAAATGCCAATTTTAATGGTGCCATATGATGCCTGCCTTAGTAAAGCAGGAGCAATTCTGCCAAAAAAAAAAAAAAGAAAAAAGAAGAAAAAGTCAATTATACTCAACATGCACTTGCAAATTATACATGTCTAGACAGCCTACTCATTTCCATTAGCTACCTCATTCTGCCCAACAGGAAAACACACATTTTTAAGCATCCATGGAACATTCACCAAGAGAGCATATTTGGGTCATAAAATAAACCTCAACAAATCCTTAAAAGTTGAAATCATACAGATTATGTTCTCTGACCATAATGGAATTAAACTAGAAATCAGGAAGGAAAATCCTTAAACATTTGGAAATTAAACAACACACTTCTAAACAATGCATGGATCAGAGGAAGTCTCAAAGGAAATTTTTTAAAAACATAGAACTGAATGAAAATGAAAAATTCAATCTTTTGCAATATGTGGGCCCTGGCTGGTGTGGCTCAGTTTGTTGAGTGTCATCCCATGCACCCAGAGGTTGCCGGTTGGACTCCTAGTCAGGGCACATGCCTGGGCTGCCAGCTCCATCCCCAGTAGGGGGCATGTGGGAGGCAGCCAATTGATGTTTTTCTCTCATCGATGTTTCTATCTCTCTCTCCCTCTCCCTTCCTCTCTCAAAAATTAAAAAAAAAAAATTTTTAAATAATAATTGAAAAAATATGTGGGATGCAGCCAAAGCAATCATGAAAGAAAAATTTATAACACAAAATGCTTACATTAGAAAAGAGGAAAAGTCTCAAATCAATAATCTAAGTTCCTACCTCAAGAAACTACAAAAAAGCAAAATAAACCCAAAGCCAGCAGAAGAAAGGAAATAATAAAGAGCATAAATTAATAAAATTGAAACAGGAAAATAGAAAAAAATCAATGAAACAAAAAGTCAACTCTTTTTGGAAAAAAATCAATAAATTTGATAAAGCTCTAGCAAAAGAGAAGACAAAAGTCACCAATATCAGTAATGAGATGGAATAAATAGCAGTACAAATTCTTACAACCATTAAAAGGGTAAAACAACTCTGTTAAATTTAACAACTTAGAGGAAACGGACTAATTCCTTAAAAAACCACAAACTACCAAAAGTCAGTCAAAATGAAATAAATAATCTAAATAGTCTCATAACCATTAAATAGTTTTAATTCATAATTTAAAAGTTCCCAAAAAGGAAATCTCCAGGCACAGATAATTTCACTGTGGAATTCTATCAAACATGTAAAGAACTAACACCAATCTTAGAAAATCTCTTCCAGAAAACAGAGGAGGGAATGCTTCCCAGCTAATTTTATGAGGCTGGTATGACCCTGATACCAAAACCAGACCAAAACAGTATAAAGAAACAGTACAAAGGAAAAGTATAGGCCAGTATCTCTCATGAACTTAGATGCAAAAATCCTTAACAAAATATTAGCAAATTGAATCCAGCAATGTAGGAAAAAGAAGTATGCACCAATACCCACCTCACAGATATTTTTTAAAAAATCCATCTTACTTCCTAACAGTTGTAGATACATCTTCCATCCTTTCAAGAAGGAGGTACCAGAGCCAAGATCTCATCCTATTTAAGTTTTGCTTATAAACTGGAGATATTCTCACTCATATGTCCTTTGAGATTCTTCCAAATTACAGAACTATACTTTAGTGGTTATAAATAGAAAGACAGCAGAAGCTCATCCAGTTAGGATCAAAGAGTGATGACTAAATATGCATATTTCTGACTTTTTTTGCTTGCTATAGAAAAAAATAATCCTGTGATTATCCATGCTGATGAAAGAACATGGGTGTATTACTTGATTTTTTAACCCAAGAAAATTGTCTTTGAAATTCAGCCTAACATAGATTAATAATAAAATTGATATCCATTGTCTGAACAATAAACTGGTGCCCTAGATGCAGGAGTGGCCTAGGAAACTGGCAGCAGATAAACAACAAACGGGACGATAAACCACAAACATATGGCTAATCAAAAGCTGACCACTAATAGCTGCACACACTTATAAACGAAGACAAAATCCAAAGCTTAAGGCTTTAAGTAAGTGGAACATAAACTGGCACATCAATATTAAATTACAAGTTGAAATGGTATCAACAGCACAAACTGTCCGACAGCTGAAATACATGGCTTCCTTAAACACTATTTCTATTCATAATGTAAGGGAAGAACCCAGTCTTACCCTGAATACAGAGCCAATACACCTTCTTCTTTATAGATTCGGAACAAGGCATGAAACATTCCTCGGTATTTTATCTCTTTGAAGCGGGCATCAATGCTTTGGCCTTGAACCTGCAGTCGCGTTTTGGTTAGGTCCACAGGGAAAGTTCCTATGAAGTAACACACTCATTTATATGTTTTTCCAGAGTCATAGTTAAATTTTCGCTGAATGTATGCCAATGACAATTTTTTTCCTGTATTTTATTGTATCCTTTTTTTCTATCAC